TCTGCCCATCATGGGTATCGAAACCCGGATTCTAGCGTTGTAAGTTCGAAGACATACTGCTGTGCCACTGGGAGGGGCATTTAAAAATGAAAAAAATTACTAAATTATCTGAGAGTTTCTAATGAGTTCCTTTTTATTTTAATGTCCAGATACTGTCAATCTGGAAGTTTAAGTTCTGTACATCCGTGTAAACCTGTGACGCACATATCAGTATGAGACATAAAATATATGCAATTATCTAGAAATAGACGACGTTTTAAACTAATAACTGGAAAAATCCGAGCTTTAGAAAATGTTATGTTGAACATAATAAATGGTATTGTGATATTATGGGTAGAAAATAATAACCTTTTGATAAATTACCAAGTTTTATTTTTGAAAAGTCTGTTATTCATCTGTAACGATCTATAAAAACAGACATGCAACTTAGATTTGAGGCCAGGAGTTAAGACTGACAATTAAAATGGCTACAGTCTGAAAAGTCGAACAGAAATTGAGAGCATTTTTAAGTTATTTCAACAACAGCTATGTGAAGCTTTAAAAAGAGAAGAGCGTTAAAAAACTGAAAATTTCTAAACAGAATAATAAAAGAACTAACTACCAATACAAAGAAAAGCTCCAATGCATTAAGGAAGAAATTATTGTGTGATTCTTTAGAAATTATTATGGATTCTTAAATGCCATTACACTAGTATAAAAATAGTAACCATCGTTAATACGTAAATACCATCACGTCAGCACAAAAGTTACAATACATCGTAGCTACTAAGCACCATTACACTACAACAAAAGATAGAAAACATCGTGGCTGCTAAACACCATTACACTAGAACAAAGAATAAAATACATCGTATATGCTAAACACCATTACACTAGAACAAATAATGCTGCGGAAAGAGAAAAGACGTTGATAAACTGAATGGAGTACTTGAATAAAAATCCAGCAAGTTAAACTGAAATCACTTATATTTCTTTCATTAAAATCCAAAGAATTTCATTAAGGTCACTATAGCAACAGTGATTTCACCCCATCTGCACTGACATTTCTTGTGGATACAGCCCCGCCCCCTACAACTGTATGTAACTCACACATCAGTTGACACTATATATGATTGTAATAACCTAAGTGGCCATATGATTCTTCAGTCGAGCCCTACCTACCTGGCTCATAAGAAGATCAACAGAACTATCCGCAAGTGTATAGATGAAGTATGAAGACCGAGTTGTTTTTGTCCTCTGTAAAAAAGACCAGTAATCATGATATTGGCTAATTTACCAGATGAGAGCCAGAATTTTGTTTCTTGTTAAGCGCAGAGCTACTCAATGGGCTATTTGTGCTGTGCCCACCAAGGGTATCGAAACTCGGTTTTTAGCGTTATAATTTTTCAGACTTAGCGCTGAACCACTAGGGTGCGACAGCTACAATGCAAGAAGAAGATGTCACTTATTAAGTTCGGCGAAGAGAGAAAAGTAGTAACAGTCTTAGACTTTGATCAGCTGTTCTATTAGGTCGTCAATAAATTAATGTCCTTTTTTTTTAGATGAAAAAGCCCGAACAACTTAAATATCCAAACAAAACATAGTCTCTATTTTTATCGATGATGCATTTCCATCTTACATTTAGGTTGTTAATGCCCTGATTAAATAAATCACTTGGCTTTGAAGCAAAAAACATGTCAATATCTTCTTTAACATCTTCCATATTTGCATACGTTTTCCCATTAAGATGGTGTGTCAGCGAACGAAAAATATGGTAATCTGATGGTGCCATATCTGAAGAATCTGGTGGTTAGGGGAGAACTTCTCAACCCAACTCCATGATCTTGTGTTGCGTCAAATGTGCCACATGTGGACATGCATTGTCGTGTAGAAGAAGAAAACCTTTCCGAGTGAAGGGCTTGATTTAAACGTCCCAGTGGCTGACTATAGATCTTTGCATTGACAGTTCGCTG